TCAAGCGGCTGGTTAATTAGCTGTGAATGTGTGGTTTTGAAGAGCTTAGCGTCGGACTCTAGATCCTCATTATCTCTGTAACACCAGCGTTCCCTTTCCGCTGTCTCCCCTCTCCTCAAACCAGTGTTATACAGCAGCACCCAGAGATAAGCAAACACACACACACACACACACTCACTCATCATCACCAGTGTTGGACACGTCCCCAGTCACTAAAACCTCATTATGAGCTCTGTTTGTGTATTGTCATTAAGTTGTATGTGCGTTCCCTCAGGGTGCGATTAAACAGGGCAGGGCTTTTGTTTTAGGCCTTTGTATTTATAATTCTTTGACGGCTGTGAATAACCTGAACCCTATGCCTTTAAATCATATTGGTCATTGGATGGGTCTGTTCCAAAACAACATAGGTAGCACCCTAACTAAGATGCACCTAATTTAAAATGGTCTGTAGAGTGTATGTATACCCAGAACCTGATTGCACCAAGTTTAACATGTGCCCGGATCAACGTCTTTATTGATTCTGGAACAACATTCCAATCAACCAATCAGATTTGAGGGACAATTTACAGATTGTCAAGTTTAGTCTTACAACCAGGGTTAGGTGCTTCTACATCAGTGTTATTCACCTGTCATTTCTCTCTGATTTTAGAGATAACTTATGGGTTGGGTAAGGTTAGGTTCAGGGGTTGGGATAGGGTTAGGACTAAATTTTCTGACAGAAATGTTGTTCCAGGATAAACAAAACATGTTGACCCAGCAAGGCGTCTAACTCAGCAAAACTCAGGATGTGCGTATGTAGATACATAGGCAGCAACTTACCAATACCGCGCTTCATGTGAAGGCTTGCACAATTTATTATAATAAATGGATTTAGCATCACACTAAGCTAACAGTTTGATACTCAGATAAACATATATATATATAGGCTAATGTATAAAAACATCATCTGTATAAGTCATATGACCATGAAATGTTTGTCCAATCATGGCATTCAGTTCCAGCTGTGTTCTAGCTATCCTGTTTAGTTCTGAAACTACACACTTTAAGTATATTTTTAATGAACATTTCTCATGCTATGTTGGCCACCTTATTCTTTTTTTTTTTTTAATGCTTTGTCCAGAATGTTGTATCTTGAAAGCCAACATAACAATGAACAGCTTTCACGTGTACATGTATATGAAGCCTTAAAATGCTAATGTCTAGGCAGGTTGCTAGATTTGGAGCAGTGCTAGCGTGCCCTTTTCTGACCCAGCTCTTAGAAGCGTGATGCTTAGTGTATCTTCACATGGTAACAGTGTCACCGTCAATGCAGTGGAGTGACCTCAGAGGTCGTAGGGCCCGCTGTGATGATTTGAACGAAAGAAAGGGAATGAATGAGAGCCACAAAAGGTAGCAATCTGAAACGCGCTGTTCTGATGAATCATCGCCGTATGGTGCTGTGCATATTATTGAGCACGAGTTCTTACGTGTGTGAATGACCTGCAGATTATGGGTCATTATGATGGAAGCGGCCCATGTGCTGCGATAACACAGGACTCACTACCCAAGCTCGCGGCAAACATTGCATTCTGTGAGCTAGTGAGAGGGAGGCTGGCGTTGAATAGGCACACAAGTAATTAATCTTTCAAGGATTTTCTATGCTTCCAATTTTAAACTGCCCAGAAGGAATTGAAACGCAGTTATGTGCCGAAGATTTTGCATCTAAAACCCAGAAAAGCACTTGAAAGATTAAAGTCTGCAGTTGGTAGGACTGTTTCATTTTGTATTACAAGCAGCATTCTTGGAAAACAAGCAATTTATTCACTGGGAACCCAGAGATTTGCTTTTCAAGTTAATATAGTGAATGAAAAGGAATGTATTTTTGTGTAAAATAACTGTATCCAAAGCTTGCTGTGAATGCCACATTGGTGAAACCAGAGGTCGAAACACCACAAAAGATGACATAAAATCCACGACTAAATCAATCAGTGAACCAGTTTTTGGTTCAAATAAAAGGCTTATTAATTATACATAAAGAGATGTTTCTTAACACATTTTTAAAAAGAGATGTCAAATTGAAAGTTTTATTTTACACTACATTTTAAATCATTGTTTTAATATGTATTATTACATATTACATAATATGTATAATATTGTTTTGAAGTAATGTTATTTTGATGTGTTGACGAACATATTAAAGCATATATAAAGTACTTCATTTTAGCGTGTTTGTTAATATTACATTTAAAGGAAATACTTTTCTAAAAATTTACACTTAGAAATATATTTAAATACATGACATGACACGACACCTTCAGTAGAAATTACATTAAAGTATATTTAGTTTACCATAAATGCTTGTCTGTACATATACCGTATTTCAAAAGTTACGAAAATACATTTAAAGATGCACTTAAGTTAAAATAACTGCATCTAATTCAAATTTAAACTATAATACATTTTCACATAGGCAACAGTAATTTATAGATCTGCACAGGATGGATTTTTCAATTCCGCTTCCGCCAAAAATATGTTATCCCGCTCCCACCTAAAACATTCACATTTTGTCCCATTCCCGCCCGAAAAAGGCTGTAGAAAGAGGTTTGCTGATTTTTCAGGTTAGATTCTGTCTCATTCCGGTGTCTATAGGCTGTTTTCTTTTCAATTTCCACACACACAATGCTTCAGATCTCCAGATAACAGACGTTTGCGCGCTGTTAGTATTAGATAATTATATTTTGGGTGAACCCATGCACTCTGTTGCATTCGGTGCCGCGGGATTGCACCCCTCTACAGTAATTGTAAACAACATGCAATTAAGAGTCCAAAAACACTTACTGTAGGTTACTTATAAGTACTCTTTCTATAAATATACTAAAGTGTACCACATTTTCGCAAGGCCTGTCACACCACCGAAAATGTAAATGTGAAATCGTCATGCTCAGTTTTTAAGTGTGAAATCATTAAGTTTGTGTGGGCACATGGCATGATAGTTTGATAATGAAAGCCGCCCGTTAACCTTATTCCAAACTTTTTTCTTTTTTTTTTAACAAAGCAAACCCTCTTTCTCAAAGTTTGTTTAACACATCACTGACAACACTTCATATTTCAGCAGGGAAAATAGCACCTCGCAGTCAGACGGGTTGTCATAAGATGTCATCCCCTGTTGCAACTCTCGAGTTAACTGCCAGGCCCATGGGGGTGCGTCTCCCCCCGTGCATGCGGCATGTGGCGTGTGTATTGTGTTAGTGATGTTTTAATGACTCTAGATGAAGTGGGTGGTGAGGGGAAGATTGCCACTTGCAGTAGATTTCAGCAGATGATTGCTCTTCAGCGGCAGGAGGCTGACACTAGTGCCGAGACCCTGGTGTTTCAGCCATCATCCTGGAGGACGACTCGCTCCGAGCTCTTGACCTATTTCTGCCCTCCAATTCCCTCTCTGGGTTAATGTATCCCTTCATTTCCATGGCCATTCAATGTCTGTACTCTGTAGTTGGATTTTTACGTTTAAGCGGGTGCTCGGATGTAACATTTTTGCTTTCACAGAACAGGTTTCAGTGCACACCTGGGTTAAGTTGACCATAAAGTTCAGTTTGGGTACAAAAAACCTCAAGCTTCAGTCCTTTGAAAGGGGAGTGTAGAGCTTGAACTCAAATGATGAAAAATAAATGTTCAAGTAGGCAGTAACTTTGTCGTTGACACACTGGAGGTTTTGGTGCACATCTGGGTTCAGTTGACCATAAAGTTCAGTTCTGTTATGACAACTTTCTGAGGGTGTATTCACACCTGCCTCGTTTGGTTCGATTGAATCGAACTCTAGTTCGTTTCCCCCCTTGGTGCGGACCTTTTGGGCGGGTGTGAATACAGCAATCGAACTCGGGTGCGGACCAAACAACCGAACCGAGACCCAGCTGAAGAGGTGGTCTCGCTACGGTTACAAATGAACTCTGGTACGGTTCGTTTACGGTGTGAACATGAACCGACCCAATTGCAAGAAAGCACTGCGCCTTTGAGTTAACAGGCTTCCATAGTCGGAGATTTTGGCATAATGGTTTGTGTTATTGTTGTTCAAGTGCGAAAGAGAATTCCATTCCGGCGCGCTGTCTGGCCACACGATACTGTTGCGCGTCTTTCTGCGCGTCGTGTGTGTGCATCATTGGAATGGAATGAATGAATGAGTGTGTGCATCAGGACATTCACATACAGAGCGTGATCTTTAGTCTAATCGCGCATAGATGCAAAAAAAGCTTTTGCAGTTCATATTATGTAACGATAGTTACAATACAAGGATGATGCTGCGTTAAACTGGACAAACTTAATCGCAAGCGTTAACATTGACAACACTTGTTAGCAGTATATACAATAAGAATCTCATTATTTGAATGTGTGAACATAGCCCCTCTCTATGAATGAAAACTTTATACCTTATCCGTCTTCTGCGCAGTTTCTTCATATTGCGTTTGTACAGAATAACACAAAATTAGTAAAATAACAAATATTGCAGTACGAAATATCTCCATGCTGAGCCTTTTTTGCACTTCCTGATTTCCCTACTTGAGAATCCTTGTCCAATGAATGGACGACCTTAGCATACGTGTGGTTTTGTTTACAAATTTTGGTTCACTTCCAAAAAGAGCAGTGTGAAAGCGAACCGTACAAAAAAAAAAAAAAAAAAAATTGTATTTGGTCCGGACCAAAGCAAGTGAACTATCAGACTTTCCTGGTGTGAATACACCCTGAGTGATTGGCGTGGTAAAAACTACAAAGGACTACAAAACATGGCGCAAAACAGGAAATAACATAAGTCCACACAAGACAAGGGGAACACAAGACGGGAATCATAACACATGTGACAATGACTTCATTGTTTGAAAGTGTCAGTGGTTTATTTTGATTTTTTTTTTTTTTTTTTTTTTACATAATTCAGGGAGTCAAAATGTCTGATATCAAAGCTAAACTTCATCTCCTCCTCTAGCTGTATATGCAGCTCTAAAGAACTTTGTTTTTGTTTTTGTCCACAGGTTCTTCAGCACCACCATGCAGTTCATGAGATTTCCTACATTGCAAAGGATATCACGGACCACAGAGCCTTTGGTTATGTATGTGGGAAAGAAGGAAACCATCGGTTTGTGGCCATCAAAACTGCTCAGTCTGTAAGTACTCATACCTGAAAATTGTCTCAAATTTTCACATGCGTTAAATATCCAAAAGTATGTTTCAAAACCATGAGTATATGATGAACTACAGTCCGTTCGCTGCTATGACAGCTTCCTATAAAGACTCTGTCCCTGACTGGCGTTCATTCCCTCAGTCTGTTTCTGACTTTGCCCCTGTGTTGTTGTTTCTGCGGCTGTTCTTTGTTGTTGCGTTGCTCTAGTCTGCAGTGCTGCGCTTCTGTTGCAGTTGCTCAATCGATTTCCATACTGGGACGATGAGTATCTGCTGTCCTCTCTCTCTCTCTCTCTCCCCCCATCCATCGCTCTCTCACTGTGAACTACAAGTGACCCAGCAAACACATAAAGATAAAGCAATGGCAACATGTTCCTGCGCTATTTTCACTCACTCCTGCTACAGTAATGGCTCTCATTTATACATTTTTCCAACCTCATGTTGTCGTTTCCTGCTGTTTCTCCCCATCTCTCTTTTCCTTCTTTTTTCTGCCTTTAAGTACTGTGGCAGTATCAGTATTGTGGTATAGGGATGGTATTAGATACAAATACCATGGTGCTTTTGGCTGTTTTCTTTAAACTTCCAGGGGTTTATTTTACAAACAAACTTTCCTCAGATAAAGTCTTCAATGAATCTGCTGTAATAAGCAGCAGAAAAATACCCAAGGCGAGTTTTGAGGGCATTTTCATCCATGTAGTTATTGAGATATTAGTGACATTTAGGCTTCACTGGGAAGGAGATGCATTTTTAATGTAACTACAAAGAGTGAAATTTGATCTGACCCTGCCCTTTCAAACGTAAAGCACTTTGTTCTGTCACCTCTCATCTGGCAGATTTAAAAGCAGCTGAATAAGAGGTTAAGAAGTGCTTTTTTTTCTTGTTTCTTTTTCTTTTCGCTCTGAATTGCTGGAAATACAGCAGATATGGATCCTTATTGAGAAGATCATGTTACTTCTTCTCTCTCCCCCTCTTTGCCTCTATAAATCTGTCTCTCTGCCTGTCTTTCTGCATGTATTCCCAGGCTGAGCCTGTGATCCTTGACCTCCGTGACCTTTTCCAGTTGATTTATGAGATTAAACAGAGGGAGGAGATTGAGAAGAAAGCTCAGAAGGACAAGCAATGCGAACAAGCTGTTTATCAGGTAACACGCACACGCATGAAACCTTCACACTCGCATCAACTCAGAAACCCAAAGAGAATTTACAATTTCTAATGCTCGGTCAGAATACGGCCGCATATACGTCTGCAGACGAACGAGAGTGGCGTAAAAGAGAAACAGCAACAAACTCAAAAGGGAATAATGAAATGTGTGAAATAAATGAAATAAAGAAATACAAAAAGGGTGAAAATACAGAAACAACACATTTCCGTGAAGGCATATTTATTATTTATCTCAGAGAATAACATAATTATACTCATATGAGGCCGAGTGCACAGAAGGTTTTTTACATTTTTTTATATTGTTATTATTTTTTTCAACTGTTGCTTGTAAGATTGTAAATTAATGAGAAGTGGGTAAACAAGGAGGCAGACTGTACAACAACAACTGTCTCATATATATATATATATATATATATATATATATATATATATATATATATATAACAGTCATAATTAATCGTTGCACAGCCCTATTATATACAGTATATATGGGGTATACTGTATATATTAGGGTCCAATTCTCACTATTAACTATGACTTTTTCCTAATAAACTCAGAATTTCTGTTTATTAATAGAGTAAGGTAGTTGTTAAGTTTAGGTATTGGGTAGGATTAAGGGATGTAAAATATGGTCATGAAGAATAAGGTATTAACACAGTATGTGCTTTATAAGTAGTAATAAACAGCCAAAATGCTAGTAATATGCATGCTAATAAGCAAGTAATTAATAGAGAGAATTGGACCCTAAACTAAAGTGTTACCAAATCTTTTTACTATTCCTAAATTAATAATCTCACACGACAAAACAGTGGCAAAATCCCACAGTGCGCACCAATCGTCAGCTCTTTCCTCTCTCTCTCTCTCTCTCTCTCTCTCTCTCTCTCTCTCTCTCTCTCTCTCTCTCTCTCTCTCTCTCTCTCTCTCTCTCTCTCTCTCTCTCTCTCTCTCTCTCTCTCTCTCTCTCTCTGTTGAGTCTCATGTGCATATCTGCAGAGTGATTTCTTTCACACTGCTTTTTCAATCGAGACAAAATCCCTCCTTTCGTCCTGTGCAGGCCGCATTTCTGTTCCTCTTTTCACTGGCTGATGTTGAAATTGTGCTTTTGCTCTGTTTTTACATAAATTACCAAAAACTGGCTTCTTTTTCTCGTCATAATCACCTCTCCCGTTTCCCTCTACCAATGCTCTCCTTCCTTCAATCACTCCCTCTGTGTGATCACTCCTGCAGACCATTTTGGAGGAAGATGTGGAGGATCCCGTGTATCAGGTAACGCTTTGAAATAAATCGTTAATCATTATGTCTGCCTGGATGTACGCTGTCAATTTAGTGTGCCTCTCACTGTCGCTTTAAACAGTGCTCCCTGCTCAGTAATATGCGTTTAATCTCATTTACAGAAATAAATGATTCCACTCCATTTTCTCTGCTCTTTCCTCACTCCTCCTGAATTAATAAGTCTTGTTATTTCATCATTTCTTAGAAGTAAACTGTGAATCATCGCTGCAAAGTGTTGTTAACTTTTCCTTTTCATGAATTGGGAATATACTGATAAAACTCTGATGCAAGAGCGATTCTGGGAGCCTCCTTTATTTTGTACTGAAAACAGACAGCTTTAACACATCTCATCTGGGCTGCGTGTGTGTGTGTGTGTGTGTGTGTTTACATGCATTACATTGCCTTTCCGTATTGTCCGGTGTGCATCATAATGCGAATGATCTAGCCTTCTATGTATTCTATTGTGTATGATTGGAGTGTATCTTTAAAAAGCAAGACTGGGCGTCCATTGGCTGTTACTAACAAAGTAGAAGAGAAATGAGAAACATTGCTTTTAGGCCTAGCAGTTAGCTTAAGAGTCAGCCATTACTTGCAGTATAGCAAAGACCTGATAAGCACTATCAATTTGCTGTTAAGATGGCTAGAGAAGAAGAGAATTAGCCAATGGCTAACCGTGTAACAGAATGAAATGGCCAATGGCGACAGTAGTTTGTAAATGAGAACGACTAAGCCATTAGATCTAATGTCACAGAAAATGGAGACGATTTTGCCATTAGCATTAATGTGGTCTTGAATGGACAGGAATTAGCAATTAGCTAGAATGTCGCTTGCCAAAAATCGCTCTCATCTCTGTGTGGTCCCTGCGTTATGGAGGAATATATCACAGCTATGGGTTTAAACGGGTCTGCCATTTCTAAATTATCCCTAAAACTTAGTGGTTAGCATTTTAAATGCAGACCAACTCTGGGAAAGTTTTGTTACCCCTGCTAAGCTAACATTAGCATGCATCGTTAAAGAAACATGCAGCATTGGGTTTTAGACTTTGATTTATTTCTCCTTAACGTTGTAAAATTCATAACATTGCCCTGTTCGCAGGTACAGAAACAGAGGGGTACGGATACACAGAAAAAAAATGGGATGATGAAATTTTAAAGGCCGAAATCAAACTGAATATATGCATGAGGCGTGGGTCAGAAAGAACAACTTGTGATTCTTCCTTCCGAAATGTTCTTATTTTTGTTCTTATTGTTATTTTAAGTTGTCTCGAATGTAGAGAGTGAATATCCTTCTCTGCATTGAAACTATCATAGTTGTAGTTGCAGTGAAACATGAACCGTCCGCTGTGTCCCTCAAGGCTACAGGGGTCACTGCGCTACTCCTGGGGGCCGCTGTTGATTCTGTGTGATCAATCAGTCTTCTTCCTTTTCTCTTTTCTTTTCGCACTCACCTTTTCCCTGTCCCTTTGCCTTTTTATCTTCTTCTGCTGCCGATGTTGTAGTACATTGTATTTGAGGCGGGACACGAGCCCATCCGTGACCAATCAGAGGAGAGCATATATCAGGTACACTACCAAATCTTAATAATGGTACCTTTTAACTGATAATTACATAATCAGATTTCAATATTAGTTTGAAAACATGTTCACCACTAGTAACAATTGACTTAGATTATTATTAAAGTACAAAACAAACAATTCAGAGTAGCATATGTCCATGCAAAATAATATTTGTGGGGGATTTGAACATGTGACAACATACTATAGTACTGTATTTTTTTATTTTTCTGAGAATTGGAAGTTTGCCAGCTCTGAAAGATAAATCTGCTATTTTAAATTGGACTAATTCAATAAAAATGTTAACAATAAATGTATATTTTATTCCATAAATGATTGTAATATTAATTGCAATATGTTTTATAATGTTCCATTGTAAAATATGATTAACACTGTCAAAAACATAATTTACAAGTTCTACTCAAATTCATTGAAATACATATTTTACATTTTAAATAAATAAATAACGGCGTAGTTTCTCATATTTTTCATAGTTTAAAAAACTGATTACTTCACCTAATTAATATTCATGAGCCAGGCTGATGAGGTTTATAATGTCACCCCTGATTTTTCAGATTTTTCCTACACTCCTGCTTGAAAGAAATCTAAAATCTTTTTTATTATATTATAAATTATTATAAAAAAAAATTATATATGTATATATAATGTGGATTTACCTTTTTCGCACAGAAATTTCTTGTAAATTTCACAAATAACTACAAATAAATGTCAAACAAATTGAAGGAGAACGACTGAAATCGTATTTTCTTGTAAAATATACTCCAATAATCTTTGTTTTATTTACTTCGAACGGTCATTTTTACAGTGTGTTGAAATGACTTTCGCCGTCCACAACACAATACTATCCGTCAGTTGGAAAAACATAATACACCGTCCTTCGGATGAGACGTTAAACCGAGGCCCTGACTCTCTGTGGTCACAAAAAATCCCAGGATGTCTTTCAAAAGAGTAGGGGTGTAACCCCGGCATCCTGGCCAAATTTGCCCAGTGGCCTCTGTCCATCATGGCCTCCTAATCATCCCCATATATATATATACCAATTGGCTTCATCACTATGTCTCCTCTCCACCAGTAAGCTGGTGTGTGGTGGGCGTTCTGGCGCAATATGGCTGCCGTCGCATCATCCAGGTGGATGCTGCACATTGGTGGTGGTTGAGGAGATCCCCCCTTCTATGTAAAGCGCTTTGAGTGCCAAGAAAAGCGCTATATAAAATGTAATGAATTATTAGGTCTATCATTAACAGCTTTTCATGGACCAACACAGGTTGCCAATAGGGAGCCTCCAAACAAACCGGCATTCTTCTTTAAATAACACTTTAGAAGAATCCCTTGGTTTTGATGGTGCAGCTATACTGACAGCTCCACTGTGTATCTGACAGAGTCCCACCTGTGAATTAGAACAGAGTGCTTCGCCAAGCCACACTAATTCAGCGTGACGGCCCTTTCAAAGATTTACACCCAGCAATGTTTCGTGCTCCAAGCGCCATGACCAAGACAACAGCAGGTGTTGTATCCTCAGGTGCTGCTTTGTTTTGTCACCTGTGGCTTGAGTCAAAAAGAGACACTGCCAAGCTAAACAATAAACACATCAGTGCCCCAACACTTTGCCAGTCTCTCTCCTCCACAACTTTTTACAGAGCCGACTTAATGTCGCATTCAGTTAAGTAGCTCCGCGAAAGCTTGAAACGCCATCGGGGACCAAATTATACCCTGTAAATTCAAATATCTGCTCGGTTCTCAAGCGCTAAGCTGACACTTCACAAACTCCTTCACTTGTTGCTGACATCAGGACAGATATGGGAAACTCAGGAGCATGAAAGAGACATCTGGTTGCTGTCACATCAATAAAACAGGATCAGCTAACACCTGATCTCATATCAAACAAAAAGCCAGATTGGCCGAGTCAAATTGAATCTGCGTGAAAATCACTTTTGGTCTTTGCTAACAGTGATGAAATAGGGTAACATAAATGAAGAGAATAAGAGATTTGTCTTCTCTAGATATCCAATGTCAAGACTGAAGCTGTATAAATGGCATCAATCGGATCGTGGTTATATTGCGGAGCACCATGGAAATATATGGGAATTAAAAATAAAATGATAAAGTCATGGATATTTCAATAGTTTATCTACATTTTTTAAGCTATGCTTAGCTTTAAAAAATACCACTGGTTACAAATTTGTGTGCAATATTCCTAAAAATGATTTCCCCCAAACTTAAAGCAAGACACTACAGGTGAATAGGGTAAAACATTTAACTAATAAATACCATACTTTATCCAGTTGACTTATCACAGTGCATTAAGACAATTGTTTTGGAAAAGATATGTACTGTATTGTAGTTGAAATGTACAGACGCAAATAGATAAAACTGTAATAAAATAATCGCTTGTGTATTTTGGATGTTTTCTTTCCACTAGTCTGAAAAAAAAATGGAAGCAAAAATAGCCCAAAATCTCAAAATTTACCAGTGCCTGAAAAAACAATAGTTTTGCCTGTATTGCGTATTCTCTTAATTGTTATACGGGAACCTAGCCTGGTTAAAACCAGACCATTCTCAGTTGTAACAGAGTTATGGTCTGGCAAAGCGTCATAGACAAATCATTTCCAGAGGGGCGTCACCAACGGACGTCGCGGATAGACCTAAAACCAATCAGAGCGATGAAGGAGATGACGTATGCAGAGCGGCGGAGAAACATCTCCGAATGTTGTTCTTTGCTCGGTTTTTAACAAAAAGAAAACGTTCAAATCTCTTAAAACAGACGTGATAGCTGATTCGAACGAGTGATGTTCGACGGCCGCATCCATCTTTGTAATGTAGGCTAAAATCTGCTTCAAAATCCCAGCGCTGTCGTCATCGTGTAAAGCCCGCCCCAACGTTTCTGATTGGTGCCTCGATTTCGACAGATTGGAAATGGGCTTGAATGAGCTCTTTGCCAGACTAACTTTCAGAGCAAATCTAAATTTGCCGGAAGTTGTCTGGGTTTTCCCAGGCTAACGGGAACCCTATTAAAGGAAAAAATGGTAAAGAAACTCTATCTAAAATCCCTTAACCTTATAGAACAGCATCTCATAATAAGATATGTTGATTAACCGAAGCTAACACTATGCAAAAGTAACCTTGACCTCCAGCGGGCCCCTTGGGTCCCAAGTAGTTTTGGCTCTGGTAAAGTTTAGATAGCATTGAGGGATTGATGCTGAGCGTAGGGAGATTTCCAAAGTCTGCATGGAGAAATTACTCTGCTGTGAGAGGAAAGCAGCAGGTCTCTCCTCTGCCCTTTCTCCAAATGAAAGAGTGAGAATGATTAATCATTGCTGTCGCTGTGTGATCTTTGAATAAAAGAAATGGAAAGATCACTTCAAGTATACGATCAAATAAAAACACAGCGGCAATCAGTCTCTCAGCAAGAGGGAAATTAAGAACAATGGCAAATTAAAGAGAGAGAGAAGACATGAAAATAACAGACAAAGAAAGGATCTGCATCTTTTCTAGCCCGTCTAATTTGAACATGAAAATGATGGTACACTGTAAAAAAAAAAAAGTTACTACCTTAAATTTTTAAGTACAATCAACTTGGAATTTTAGTTCAACTTCAACTTAAATTATGCTAAACTGACTTAAAAAATGTATGTCTTGTATAACTTATAAATTTTCTTATTTTCTTATAACTTTTGAGTTAAGGCAATGTAAAAACACATGTTGTCATAACTTATTGATCAATAATAGAAAAGAAAATATTTATCATGCACACTGTACAATTATATTGATATTATTTTGATTTATTTTATCTAAAACATTTATTATAAATCAAATATAAATTTGTTATTAATAATACAAATATTTATTATTATTATTATTATTCAAGCTCAATTTCAATTTCGATACTATGCACTATTTTCTGCATCTTGCACTTATATTATTAATTAGAACACTTAATACACAGACAATGGCTCATTTTGCTCTTCAGGAAGCATCAAATTTGCATTCTGCATTGACCTTGTAAAATCTCTTGCTGAAATCTGAACTAATGGTAACTTGTCATGTTAACTGTGCATTTGGCTGGGCTCCCTGTCCACACCAGGTCCCTACCAGCCAACAAAAGGAGGGAGTTTATGACGTCCCAAAGCGACATCCAGTGAGTGGACCTGTGTGTGTTTGTTTATGTGACTATCCTGTGCCTCTCTCTGGCAAACCTTTCAATGTGTAAACCACCAAGCATCAAGCATGTTTCCGCTCCCTGTCTCGAGTCCCGTGAGGAGTTCAGCAGCTCTCATTTCCCGGCTTACAGTAAACCGCATAGACTGTGCACTCTTAATTTACCCCCGGTGTTTGTGCGTTTTTTTGGCTGGTTGTGTATATGTGTGGTTTTTGTGTTTGTTTCATTTTCTTTGTGAAAATCTAGCTGTTTGGGTGGTGGGCATTACGTGATTGGTCGGTTTTTGCATGATGTACGCTTGTCTTCACCCCATGATAAGGACAGCTGGTGCGTTCATGAGGGCATTCCAGCCTTGTGAATCAAGTTGACAAGAAAGTTCACCCAAAAAGAAAATTCTCATGAATCATTTACGACTTTATTTATTCCATGGAATACAGAGATTTGAAAGAAGAATGTGCTCATTCTTTTTCTTGCTATGACTGTCTTTTAAGCTTTAAAAAGGATATAAAAGCGCCATAAATATGGTCCATATGATTCATGCACAATATCAGGCAGAAATTTAAGTAATTATTCAATAAAAACATGAATATAGAACACAACTCATACGGACCATTTTTGCTATATTCATATTTGTATGGAAATGAGCAACTAGAACAGTCTCCAAAGGGCTTCTTCTTTTGTGTTCCAGGGAAGTTTACTGTAAAAAAAAAATTCTTCCTTAGTATTTTTGTCTTGTTTTCTAGTACAAATATCTAAATATTCTTAAATCAAGATAAATTTAATTTGAGAAGAAAAACTGATATATTCTTAAAAAAAAGGATAAAAATGAGCTCAAGTGAGTTTAAGCTTAAACAAGAAAAAAATTCTGGCCATGGGGTCAGAAATATAAACAATTCAAAGCGAAAAGAAGATTATTTTTTCTGACCCGATTCACTGTAAAAATTATTGTCATGATTTGTTATCACAACTTTTTTATCTTTTGTCAAATCAACATAATATTTTGATTTTCCGTTTATTAAACCAATTTCCCTCATTGTATTAACTAATTTTTTTATTTCAATGAACTCAAAATTTTAAGGCAACCAGGTAACTTACTATTTTTTTTAGTTAAACCAACCATATTTATTTTTGTTGCAATTCTTTTTCTTGTTTTACGCAAAAACTCGTTCAATTTTGATAATTATTTTAGAAAAAAATACACTTAATATCATAAGTCATTTTGCTTCTCAAGTAAATATATCTTTATTTAAGAATGTTTAGATAGAAAACGAGACAAAAGCACAGAGGAAGAACATATTTGGAGTGTTGAAACAACATGACAGAACTTTAAATTTGGGTGAACTATTCTTTCAATGCCACATCATGAATGTCCGTGAATCATGCATGATTTACAATAATAATAAAAAAAAAGAAAGTCTGTGTAGCTTAAATGGGTTGACAGATAAAGTCATTTAAATGAGAGATGGCAAACATTCTTCTGCAATCATTTTTTTGAATTGTGCTCATGCATCTGTGATCGTACTGTGAACGAGATTCAACTGGTCAAGAAGTTATAGTGAATTTTGCTCTCTCTCTTTAAATGGTGGATGATCTCTTGTCAGGCCATTTGGCCTCAACATTAACACTGTTGTAAAGAAAGATGGCTGATCTTTTCATGTTCTGGCCAGTGTCTCTGCTGTCTGTATCTCTCTTGTGTTATAGCTGCTCTGTTCATTCAGTATAGCTCAGCTAAATGCCTAAACCCTCACACAATCACCATCACAACACATACAACCCCTGCAAAAGTCCCTCGTGCCCTGGAGTTGGTTGAGTCTGTCCTCAATATTCAATTGTTTGGGTCACTCCAGACCTGGAAAACAATGTTTGAGTTGGATTTTCCTCATCTCAGCCCTCATGTCACCCTGTGCCACTGTCTGGCATCTCTTCCTCTCGCCTCTTCCATCATGTTTTCAAACACCCACTCACTCTTTTCTCTCTGTTCCCTCGCACGTATTTTCAGCCTTCTTCCTCTCTCCTGTTTCAATCTAAGTCGCGTGGCCTCTTGATCCTGCCTTTCCCAGCTTTTTCATTTCTGCCGAAGTGAAATCTGCACAGCTTCAACTCATAAAATAACTCTTTCGGCTCTACGGAATTGGCTTTTGAACCGTTAGGCTGTAAATCTGTTTTGTGTTGTGCATCTACTGTACATTGTGGGTCTGAATTTATTTATTTATATGTATTTATTTGCGCTTCTTTGGGTTTTTTTTTTTTCAGCAGTATTTTGGGGCAAATTCAATAAGCATTTCAATACAATGAAAACATTGTCATTGTTTTTGGCACAAACACACTTCTATAAAACTAAGTGTGTATATTGTGTAATGCACATTATAATTATACATTATTTTAATTATTAAAATTTCAGTAAACTTTTTTTAGGAGATATTTGTGTACTTTTTCTAGCTTTCATTGCAGGACTGTTTCATTAAATTATTATCAAATTATAAAGACAAAAAGATTTTGTTTCGTTGTTTAGTTTTTCTTTGTTTTCTGTTTTGTTTAGTTGTTTTTTTCTTTTACTTTGCTTAGTTTTTTGTTTTGTTTTGCTTTGTTTTGGGGTGTTTTGTTTTGCTTTGTTTTGTTTTGGGGTGTTTTGTTTTGCTTTGCTTTGTTTTGGGGTGTTTTGTTTGGTTTTGCTTTGTTTTGGGGTGTTTTGTTTTGCTTTGTTTTGTTTTGGGGTGTTTTGTTTTGTTTTGCTTTGTTTTGGGGTGTTTTGTTTTGTTTTGCTTTGTTTTGGGGTGTTTTGTTTTGCTTTTTTTTTGGGGTGTTTTGTTTTGCTTTTTTGGGGTGTTTTGTTTTGCTTTGTTTTGGGGTGTTTTGTTTTGTTTTGCTTTTTTGGGGTGTTTTGTTTTGCTTTGTTTTGGGGTGTTTTTTTGTTTTGTTTTGCTTTGTTTTGGGGTGTTTTGTTTTGCTTTGTTTTGGGGTGTTTTTTTGTTTTGTTTTGCTTTGTTTTGGGGTGTTTTGTTTTGGTTTTGTTTTGCTTTGCTTTGCTTTTTTTTGTTTACTTTTCCTTTGTATTTTGTGTTTTTTTGTGTGTGTTGTTCTCTTTTCTTTTGTTTTGCTTTGTTTTGCACTTTTAATACACATTGTTTTATTACACATGGTTCAAAAGAAGTAAAAAAGTATGCAGCATGCCAGATCATGGTATTCTGCCGCATCCTTCACAACTGAAAAGGACAACAGCGTCATGCAAACTGCGTTTAGCAAATATTTTTGGACCATGTTTGCACATTAATTCATTTTCATATTTCTCTTAGTAAATCATGCAGTGAAACAAAGCAGGCAGTGTGCGCAAATAAACAACAATATCAGTCAATGTATTCTTAGTAAATTCCCCTCATTATTTTTTGCCTTCTAAAGAATTGACTTTGATAAACAGTATTTAATGAAACATTTCTTTGAATAACTCTTTAGTGTTGTTCTTGTTCTTTTTACCTCTCCACATATTATTTAATTTCCTAGCTGTGCTTCTCGGTTGGTTTCATGCCTGTGGCTACATGATCATAGCTCTCTGTAATGAAATGGGCAGCACTAAAAGCACACAGGACACTGCGAAGATAATTATTCTCTCCGAGGGGACGGCTAATTGATAGTCTTTTTGAAGTGATGATGATAGAAAAGTAGGCTGATGGATTGTGGCAAAATAAACCCTATACTAATATTCACTCCCAGCCTCGTACTAAATGTTGCCATGGAGACTGTTTAGTGTAAATACTGTTGTTTCGGTTATGGAATGACAATACATCATGTGAGTCATACTTTCACAGGAGAGGCAGCTTGTTATAATAACAGATAAGAAGGTAGTTATCAGCACTCGTGATATCCATCAGTAATAAGGTGTCAGCAGCATGCAAGGCGCTTTGACTGACACAGTTCATCACTGTGGGGCCCAGCTGTCATCTTTCCCATTATCCTCAATGGTGATCCCCAAGGGTGTGTAAAGAGATTGATTTGATGGCATCTTTTGGGCTGGTAATATTACGGGCATTTAATTCAGCTACTGGCCGCAGTGTAGAACGGCAGTTCCAGCTCAATGACCTTCAAAACCAAACAACTTGAGACGAACACCATCACCCTGGAAACATGGCAGGAACAAATCAAAAACTGAGTGCAAATGTAGATTGCTGCATCATTCAGAGTTCTGCTTATGTTTTATGAATGAAGCCCTTTTCAAAGTTAGACAGCTGAACTGATCGAGTGAAGAAAGCTACACAACCCAAACCTTGATGATGCTTTCTCTCTTTCCCTCTATCACACTGCCTCTACTTTCCTTCATGTTTGTCCATTCACTCATAACTGCATTAGCAAATATAACATGTCACTAGCAGTGGCTTATTCCTGCTTACTTTTCTCAGACTGATAGGACCATACTTCGATTCTTAAAGCTAAGCGCTAACACCGAACACCAAGCGCTAACATAGAGAGACTTTCAGACTTAACCATCTCATGTGTCAACTGCTTCTGAAACCTGAGCCACTGACCTGGAGTCAGTTCTTCATTTCATTGCATGTTTTACATGTACATGTCCAGATCTTGTGTGTTTATCTTGTTGTCAGTGTTAATTCTGGTCTTACTTGGTTAGCCGGATAACTTTCCGGATTCCATCATAATCAAAAAGTCATTTTTTGTAGCAGAAATCAATGTGAATGTCTGTCATTTGAATGTCATTAATGTCAAATTTTGCATATATTGTTTTTATTTTAAGGTGGCTTTTTAAAATGAACACTAAATTATGTCACGGTTGTTTGTATCTAATGAATCGCATGGCTGGAGTAGGCCTAAAACAGACTTTAATCCAATAAATTTGCAAATCACAGGTCATAGAAACTAGAAAACTAATGTTAACAACTGGGACCTAATGTAAAGTAACCAAAATAAATTGTATTCCTTCAGTCATGTCTTCTCTGAGGGCTGAAGTGAAGAAAAAAATATGCACATGACACCTCTTTATCCGGCTAACCAAGTAAATCAAGTTCGAAGAAAGGGTTCTTGGTGTTCTTTCCTATTTCGTGGTCTACCCATCCTCTCCTTTTGCATAAGATCCTCTCCTCGCCTGTGTTGCTTTATCAGCAGCACAATATGTAAGATGGGAGCAGCTGTTGTTCATGGTCTTTTGCTCTTCCCATGTTATCTCAAGAGACGCCCATTTGAGCACATTATTTTCCCATTAAAGCCTGCCGGTAGCTGGTTAAAAATCTTTTTTTTTGTTTGATTCCTCCTTCCACAAATTAAAGTTTGGGACTATGGGGTGGGATGCGAGTTAGCAAAGATAAATACAGTTGGTTCTTGCGTTTGTCGGGCTCAAACCTGTTGAGAGATAATCTGGTAAAAAAAATAAAAATAAATGCAAAAGCCACGAATTGATAGTGGGATAGTGAGGTAAACGTGTAACCTCACCTGTACAGGTAAAGTACCATCCATCTCATCTAATCACACTTCACCTTCCCAAAACAGACCTCATTTTTTCTGTGTGTCCCATTTCACCTTTCATCTAACACCATGTTATCATTGCAGAACAAACATAACCAACCGATCGATCTCTTGGATCTAGACACTGACCTGTTGCTGGTCACCAAGGTAAGGTAGACAATGACTGGCCGAAGTTTCTCCACACCTGCCCTCGGCCTTTCCATGACCCTCCTAGCTGTTGTTTTGATTGCAAAGGATCTAGAAAGCTCCTCTAGCTGTAATCTAGCTATAAAGTAATAAGTAGTGCACTATGGTCCACTGTAGAATTCAGTAGAGTCCCTGTACAAGCAGTCTCTTGCTTTTTACTTTCTCCACTAGTCTCCTGGAAGTAGTCTACTTACTCATACCTGACCTTTCTTTTTCATAGTCAAATGACAGAGCTCTTTTAGATGACCCTAGTGTGACCCTGTTGAATAGGTTGGATTTTGTGTTCCCATGAATAAATCAGTCAGAGACCATGTGCGCAGTGGTCTCAAAGGTCATGCACACAGTCGTGTTATTGTGTGTGCTGTTTTTTAATTGTTTTAACATTATTAGAGATTAGTGAGTGGAGACAGTAAATACCAGCATAGCATGAGAGACAGGGGAGCAATTATTCTGTCATTAAAAAAAAATCCCTTTTGTAGAGATGTGAAAAGAGTGTGTTGCATTTTAGGAAAGATCCCTGTGGTCCGGCCTCAAGCAAATGGCTGAATGAAACAGTTTTTAGAAGCAGTTTAGAAAAGCTTTTCTGTCATGCGCCAGTCACTTTAAAAAGCTCAAGAAATTCTCAAACAACCCCAAGGACTTCGACACTCTTGGGCAAGTTTCGATAAGTACAGTATGTTATGATTGTTGGTGGGTTTTCACTGCGAAACAACACAAATAATTTAGTTATTATCAACACTATACTTATAAATAAATAAAGGCTGCAGAAAATTCAGACATTTTGGGCAGCAAAAACCCGAAAAAAAAGTCCTGCTAAAGCCTAGTGGGACTGGCATGCCCTTGTTCAGCAATAACCGTGAATACAGGATATATCCCAAAATATTCACTCATTATCTTCCTAGAAATTAGCTCTTATTATATAATATTGTAGATTGGTTGGTTGGTTGGTTGGTTGGTTGGTTGGTTGGTTGGTTGGTTGGTTGGTTGGTTGGTTGGTTGGTTGGTTGGATGGATGGATGGATGGATGGATGGATGGATGGATGGATGGATGGATGGATGGATGGATGGATGGATGGATGGATGGATGGATGGATGGATGGATGGATGGATGGATGGATGGATGGATGGATGGATGGATGGATGGATGGATGGATGGATGGATGGATGGATGGATGGATGGTTGGTTGGTTGGTTGGTTGGTTGGTTGGTTGGTTGGTTGGTTGGTTGGTTGGTTTGGTGGTTGGGTTTGTTGGTTGGATGGATGGATGGATGGATGGATGGATGGATGGTTGGTTGGTTGGTTGGATGGATGGATGGATGGATGGATGGATGGATGGATGGATGGATGGATGGATGGATGGATGGTTGGTTGGTTGGTTGGTTTGGTTTGGTTTGTTGGTTGTTTGGATGGATGGATGGATGGATGGTTGGTTGGTTGGATGGATGGATGGATGGATGGATGGATAGATGGATGAATAGATAGATGGAAATAAATGACTGTTTATTACTGTTTATTTCTGCGTGCTGTACATGATCGGTAGGTACAAGAAGTCATCATCATCTTTTAAATGTTTTTTATATCATTTTTATAGCAACTCACTATCATTTTCATAAGTCACCTTTTGTATTCAAACCACTGTTTGCCCAAGGTAGATGCCAATATTCTGTATATTCTGTGGCAAAGACTAGACTGTCATGGCAATGCGTGCTGAGGTGAAACACATCTGATTTTATGCTGGTCTTTCATCTGCAGAATATCAACCAGTTAGAGCTTTTCGGAGACATGTCCACTCCTCCTGATATCACGTCCCCCTCGGTGAGTGACTCCAAATGAAATGCAGGAATACTGCACAGTGTATACTGCATACTAATTAGATAGTATGTAAACAGTATGCCATTTTGATATAGTTAAGCAAGTGTAGTTTTTTGGAAAGCTTCTGTTTAGACTGCTGTGATTGTCCTCTTCCACAGACCCCAGCTTCTCCGGCTAATACTCTAGACCGCACACTGGCCCACCAGACACCATCCGAACTGTTCACCCCCTTCAACCCTGCCTCTGTACCCTCAGGTAGGAGAAAATTCACCCCCCAATGTTGTGTGTGTACAGGAGAAAACAATACCAAGAAAATAGATAAAGGAGACATGGAATGGGGCGGATGTGAATTAAGTAATGTGTCTGTCTAGTTCCGGCTAAATAAGATGTCCCGTCCTCCTGCTGTAGAATATGAATTCTCTCATTACTGGCTGCTGTACTGATCTGCATGATAAATGCCTAGCAGAGGACACAGCGTTACCTCTACCTGCTCTAGTGCCACTGTGTTTATGTGTGTGTGTTTATATCTGTGAGTGTTTGATGCCTTTTTAACATGCACATCTGTTCGGGAGTCATATCATACATTTTTATTAAGTAATTTTTTCCCCTGATGTCCACTTAGTCAAGGATTTTTACACCACAAAGGGGCAATGTTTCCTTTTTCATCACCATTTTCACCCCTTTCTTTCATAATTTGATTAAATTAAACAAAATATATACAGATTATTAAAGGAGTGGTTAAAATATTTACTCACTCTCATGTCATTTTAAACTTGTATGACTTTCTTTCTTCTGTGAAACACAAATAAAGATATTTAGAAAAATCTCAGTGATTTTCTCCATCCATTGAAAATGAATGGGGTCGAATGTTGTTTTGGGCCACATTGACTTTCATTTAATGGAGAAAAAACGGTTTAAAAATATCTTATTTTACAGTTATGTTTTGCAGAGGAAAGAAAGTCATACAGATTTAAAATGACATGAGGGAAATAAATATGACATAATTTTCTTTTTTTGGGGGTGAACTACCCTATGCCTGAACTTGCCAGAACCAACATTTTAATAATGTTAATATATCTAATTACAAACATTTTTTACTACTACTGACATTTAAGGTGACTTTTCATCTTAGAAACATTATGGTAAAGAGAAAGCCATATGATAATTCAGAGTTCCCCACAAGTAGCTTTTCCACAAGCTGAGGTAAATTTTAATATTTAGAAGATGAACACATCCACACAAGTACATAAAAACATCATGGTAACACACAAGTACAAAACACTATCATGGTAACACACATGACACTAAAATAATTCTATAAACATTTATTTGAACATAAGATGCAATATAAAACCTTAAAGGGGATAGTTCACTCAAATATGAAAATTCTGTCATCATTTACCCACCCTCATGTCATCCAACCCATAAGACTTTAGTTCATCTTTGGAACACAAATGAGGATATTTTTATTGAAATCTGAGAGCTTTCTTTCCCTCCATAGACTGCAACGTTAATACCACTTTCAAGGCCCAGAAAGATAGTAAAGACATCGTTGAAATAGTACATGTGACTACAGTGGTTTAAACTTATTGATAATAATAATAATGTTGCACTCTATGGAGGGGTCACAAAACTCTCGGATTTTCATCAAAAAGGTCTTGAACGAAGGTCTTATGGGTTTGGAATGACATGAGGGTGAGAAATTAATGGCAGAAATTTCATTTTTGGGTGAACTACCCCTCTTAATGTACAGTACTAATACAAAAAATGAAGAAGAACTTACTGTTTACCAATAAAAACGTTTTCACCGTAGCATTTTTACAGTATTTTTCACGATCGTTTAGTTACATAGTGAACTCTAAATTGTGAAGTACTACCACTTTAAATTCTACAGAAACACTCACGTCATGATATTTGAACCAGTTATTAAAAACTAATAGCCCTTGTGCAGTGACTTTGCTCTCCCTGGGACATCTGTTCCAGCCAGATTGACTTCCTCTGAAACAGTAAACAGTACAGCATTGATATGTGTGGAATCAAGTAGTGTATCATCTGTCCCATCTGTCTTCAATTCTTTCCCTCAGTCAAACTCCCCTCTGTGTTGTAAAATCATAAACACCAGGTTTGACTCCGACACACCTGTCCTGATGGGATTCTCACAGTTCAGTTATGATAGCATGAGCACATTTTTCACCTTTGTGGAATCATTCTGGCTTTTTTCAAGTGAGAGTTTTTCCCCAGAGTGCTTCAGGGGGTCTGGTCCCGCTGGCAGTGTATTGTAAGTCACTTTCAATGAAACTTGTGTGTTAAATGGCATGTCAAATGGAACATAAATCATCTGAATGAGAACACGCTACTTAATTATGATCTTATTTAGGAAAGCTATGCTGTATTGTGAACATAGTCACACTATATAGTCACTATATGTGTTCTATATTTATAATATAGCATGACTTTAAGATTTTATGAAGCAGTTAGTTACATAAAAAAATTAACTCAAATAAATAAATAGAAATAAAATATAATATAATTATAAATAATATAATTAATTTGATAAAAAAACGCTATTAATTAAATTCATTTAGTGCCATCTTTCCACTAGAAGATATAGTACTCCTCGACATGTCCGCAGGATACTGGAGATGTGCTTCAGGTTTTGCTTCCCATGTACCTGAATAACAGTCCATAATTCCATCCTATTTGCTGATGGTGGATCCATTGCTCAAAAATGACTGCTGAGGGCCATCATGGACCAGTGCAGGGGTGCGTTGGTGTGATGAGACAGCCCATTGCTGCCTGACTGAATGATGGACATGCACGATTTACTTAAATTCACATATAGAACTCCTCCAAGCATTCCACTCACTGGTCCTTGAGACAACCACACACCGTTACTGCAACTCCATGTGTCAAATGTTCCCATCCCACACAGCTCAATGACATTATGTTAGCATCATGAATTGAGGAGTAACTAACTACAAGTAAAAATACTGTTACGTTTATTAGTGTGTGTGTGTGTGTGTGTCAATAGCTAAGCTGTTTTCAAAATTATTTTTCATTCATTATAATCAACATTATAAATGCCAAGCCTAAACAAATGTACATGCTATATACAAATAAACTTGGGCTCATACCTTAGCACAAATTTTAAATGCATTGAATAAGTCACTTTGGAAGGTAAGTCACGGCAGGTTTCAGATGATTTAAACGATAGATTCTTCTTTTAAATTGCTAATGTCAACACCTAAGGAGAGAAGCTGTGGCTGATTCTAGGTCATTTTTAAAGATGAAGGATCATCACATCTTTCCACAACTTCCTATTTTGTGAGTAACCCAACTACAGTTGATCTCACGCCTCTATGAAATATTCCAGACACGCTCTCACAGTGCGTGTGTCATGTCATAGAGATAAGATACGATGTGGAGTTGTATTATTTGAATCAGCGTTACTCATTGGAAAGAAAGAGCAAGATGTGTAATGAAATAAGCCTCAATGTGATATGAGTCAGACTGTTGTAATGGCCTCGTTTAAAGGGCGTTGCTATTCATTAAGCCCGGACCTATTGTGAGAAGTAATTACAATAGTTCATCTGAGCCATAAAGACCTTTTTCATTATGAAAATCTAGGTCATCTTTCCCAAGTCATCAAGAGATATATGGCTGCCGCCTGAAAGTCCTTTAGTGAATGCTAAAGGTTACAGCACAACCTCGTAATGAGGTGTACGTGTTTTCCAAAGCATTTTGGCGGTAAATTCTCTTTCGATAGTTTGAAGAGCTCTGTGAACAGAAAGTCTCATTGTCTCCGTCCTTTAGGTTATGTGACGATGGGAGCCGTGCCACCCGCGTGGGCGCAGCAACAGTTCGCCGCTCAGGCTCCATTAGCGTTTGGCGTCCAGTCCACGGTGCCCGTTGCGCAGGTTTTACCGGGCGCTCAGCCTCTGATCTGGGGTCAAGCCAACCTTTTTCCTGCCACCCAGCAACAGTGGGCCGCAATGGCAGGGGCTCACTTTTCGCCTGCCGCTTTCATGCCTGCCCAGACAGTAGGGCCGCTTCCCGCTGCCATGTTTCAGACACTGGCTTCCATGGCAGTGCCCGCGTCCTGCGAGACGACCGCGGTGGCCATGGGCGGAGCCGTGGCAGGAACCTCGGGCTCCACGGCCTCCAGTCCGCAACACGGGGAGCACACACTGCAGAGACAGGCTAAGATGAGCAAGGAGATGTTTAAGGACTTCCAGATGGCAAAGCCACCAACCATGCCTGCCAGGAAGAGCGAGCAGCCTAACCTGTCCTGCACCACAGATGCTTTCACCAGCTACTTCAGCAGAGTGGGGATGGCGCAAGACACGGACGATTGCGACGACTTCGACATCTCGCAGATGAACCTCACGCCCGTCACCTCCACTACGCCCTCCACCAACTCACGTGAGTAGGACGCTTCAGACATATGCCATAGTTTTGACTCAAATTTGGGGCTGGTTATGTAAATGCAATTATAGGGGGAAAAACTAGTTTAAAACACGTGGTCAAATAAAATAAAATATTTGTATTCATGTTAATTTTATATGGAAATATGTTACGTCTCACTATTTAAGATGTATATGGGTAATATGGTATTTAACATATAAATGTTAAAGTTAGATCAATTAAAGAAAAAGTATTACTCCCTCATACCCTATTACCCCTAGATATCTTACATAGGAAGGCATAACATAATTGGGGGCTCGTCCGGGATTTTTATACCATTTTCAAGAAAATTTTCAGTTTAATTCTCTAGAAATGACATGTTGTTTAACTGTCAAGTAAAAAGTGATAAAATATTATTTTGAATCTTGAATTCATGTGAGTTTTTCACATTAGCATAATAACCATTGTTTTCAAATAAAGTTTAATTTAATTGAATTTATATATATATATATATATTACAATTATCATGAATTATTCGTTCTTAATTATCATTACATTTTTGGAAAGTTGCAACACATGAAATTTTACAACCTCAACTTAAAGGGTCAATTTAGTTTTTTAAGAAACTTATTGACTAAGGGATTTTGATCCACACTTATGAAGGGTTTTAAGTTTACATGCATAAATTTAATTACATTGATCATGACCAATTTCTAAATTGACCAATTTGACCAAATTTCTAAATTCTAAAAGTATAGATTTCTCCAGTTTCGAGGTGAAATATTTACTGATTAGCAATAAAAGTGAGGGTTTTTTATTGTTTGAAGTTGGAACGAAACGAAAGTCTTTTCTCCCCTATTGTGATGTATATCCGAGTGAAATGGCTTCTCAAAGTAGCAAAAATATAGGGCGTGACTTGATTTTAAAATATATATTTTTATATTATTTATAAATATCATAATGTTTTTGGAGAGTTGCACCACATGACATTTTACAACCTGATTTAACCTTAAAATCATTTGTGGCAAAGTTGTAAATAAGTCTTTTAAAATATCACAGTCATGAAATCATTTTCTTTTTTATTATTATTATTATTTTATTTCTTTTTTTGCTGGTTGCATCACATGTATTTGGTTTGGTATGCAAATACATACATGTATTTGTGGCATATGTAATATCAAAATATTATATATATATATATATATATATAAATATGAGCAATATCACACTGCATATGCAAATATAGCCTAAATATTAAGTTAAGAAATTTAATTTTCCCCTCAACCCAAATCAGTTTGCTCTGGAACAAGTAATAAAATAGACCAAAGATTGCCCGTTTGATATACCCCAAATGAATTATATCTCATGTTTAACCACTATTTAAATACAGTAAGAGCCAGCGGCAAATTCCCAAAGGATTAGCCGAGATGAAGCCATTTTCTCTGGGTACATGAGCGCTGAACGGCCGCTGATATAGCCTGGCAAAACGCCTTTAAAAAGCCTGAAAGCCTTTAAAACAAATTTTAAATCAGGTGCTATGTTTATATATAGTCCCATATTGGAGGTCTAAATAACTACATTCTTGCCTAAAAAAACTCTTATAACTACATTTCGTGACACAACAACAGTAGTATTTTTTTTTTTTTAATATGGTGGATTTTCTCGACCGTCATGACAGCCGCAGTAAGCAGGATGATACAAACGGTGAAACGGGTCCAGTGCTGATATTGTGGGAATTTCGCACGTCTCTCAGCCAATCAGAATCAGAACCAGAAAGCTTTTATCAAAAATGCTTTTTCAAAAATGTGTAACACAACATTAAATTACATTTTGTTAGTTCATGCATTACTTAAACCCATGACCTTGGCATTGTTAACATCTTGCTCTACTGTTTGAGTACAGGAATGCCTCCACAGCAACAGGACATCAAATGATCTTTCACTGATGTCTTACTTATTTATTACATTATAGTATTAATTTAAGGAGGGTTAGCAGCTTCCTCTTTTTTCAATAATAAGAATTTATGACAGCCAACATTTAAATGATTATATCTTGGCACTGGTTTGAAAACATAATGATTATCTTTAGAAAGCTGCAATTTTCCTTTTTGCTTCACAAAATGTGTTTCTGGGTCAAGTGATGCAAAATGATGTCACATATGCACACATATTAGACCTTCCAAGTTTTCCCGAATCGATGTTTTAGAATTATGCGAATTTATTTATAATTTTTTATACTTTCTTTATTATTTATACTTTATTTATAATATTTCACTCTGATTTAAGAGGTTGGTCACGGTTAGGTTAGGCTTAGGGATCGGTATAGGGATATGTTTTTATATCAGGAATGTTGTTTCAGGACCAATAGAATCACATCATTCTGTAGCTCCATAAACCCTGAATACACCAACAAAGAAAACAAATCTCACATCGAAGAACTTGGTATCTCACCACATGCCTTTCTCTCTCTCACCTCTCTCATCGCAAGCCCTTAAGAGTGCTGACACGGCTAGAAAGGCTTCATCCGTTTCCTACTACAGAAATTTAAACTCACACCTCATCCCGTCTTTCATCAACACATCCTTTTTCACTCAGAGGTTGAAAGGTGGGCTTTGATGCTGTTGCCCAGAAGGCATTGTCTTTAGTCAGCGTGAAAATGACAATTAGTACTGCGGTGGGGAGCGGCGGCAGAGGGAAAGAGAGAGTCAGTCACAGGCCCAGCTGTGCTTCTGGCGAACAGTGTAATTATCACTGATCTCTAGGGAGCCTTGCGCTGTGTGTTGGGCCTGTTTGGATCATCTCGCTCCTGTAGTGCTAATTATTGCTGGGATGGAACGCCGCACCGTCCCACGTTTGCACACCGGCAGGCCGTGCGTGAGAGACATACTCATTTATTAGGTGTCAATAAGGGATTTTGATCCACATAGGACCCTTTCTGACAGGTTTTTGGCTTAAATGCATACGTTTAGTCAAACTAATCATGACTAGTGCGTGCAAAACACAAAATGCATTCCCCTAGGTACAAATTGTTCCAGTTTCGAGACGAAATATCCACTGAATGGTGCAAATAGTAATTTTTAAGTCTAAAGGTACACTATGTAACTTTTTTTTTGTTCAACATGTTAATGAGTCTATACATCATCATTCCTTCTTCCAAAGCGTGTTTTTGTCTTACCCTGATTCACTATGATAAGCCTATTATAAGTGTTTATATTTTTGACCTGTCGGGATGATTTTTGTGGGAAATTGTGTATATGTACATGCATGTCTCGTCGCTGAACACGCTGAAAAAACGCTGAACAGAATAGAGTCTGCTGGCAAAATAAGAACGCCACAGAGCTCATAATAAAAGCAGAAACAACACTGGCTTGGCTTTTCGGACATGGCGAGAACTGAGGGATTTGAAATTTAGTAAAAGCGGCGCGGAGATGGTGTTTTTATTACTCAACAGGTGAGTAAGTTATTTTATTGAACAGATAAATCGCCATATGTAGCTCTCTATCAGAGTTCATTGTAAATCATGGTCTATTGTGAAGAGTCATTTCAACGCACAGCCGAAGCACAACCAACACAATGTTCTTCCGCAAAATGCATGTTTTCAAGGGTTTTTTTTTTTTTCAACCGCTAGAGGGCCAAAAGTTAAATAGTGTACCTTTAAAGGTGTAGTGTGTAGATTTTAGCGGCATCTAGCGGTTCGGTTGCGAGTTGCACTAATGGCTCAGCCCACTGCTCACCCCTCTCTTCCGAAGAAGCTACGGTTGTTAAAACGGGACAAACATATCGTCGTCTTAGACAGCAGAGAACAGCCAGAGTAAGCAAAAATGACATGATTGTAACAGCGCGCGCGCCTCAGCATCCCCTTGACACCATTTACTACACACAAATTAATAAATAATAATGAATAAAAATATTGTTTTTTTTTTTCTCTGGTTTTGAAAACTCTTCGCGATCGACTTAAAATGCTTACAAGATCGACTTGTCGACCACGATCAACGGGTTGGTGACTCCTGTAACGTTACTGTTTTACGGTCAATAGTACTAATCAGCTGATTGTCAAAGCCATAACACAGCGAGGGAGAAGAACTAAGTTACATGAAACAATCCAACTACATATTTTACACCACTGACAAGGGAAAAGTCACTACTCACGGTTTCTATGGCTAGCTTCTAGCTTTCTGCGGCTTCTCTTTCAAGGTAGTGACGAAACGCGCTCTGTAGCGATGTTTGTTCGCTGTCGGCTACGGTAGAAACATGACGTCACAATACAGGTCCTTCTCAAAAAATTAGCCTATTGTGATAAAGTTCATTATTTTCCATAATGTACAGTAGGTACTCAACCAGAATGCCTATTACCGCCGCGACTCGTGCCGCGGCAAATCCACTGCGGCAAAAATAAACTAGTCGCATTTCAAAGTCCTTCGCGAAATGACCGCCAGGTGGCGCAAAGGGGCATTTAGCAAAACAGCCGCAATTGCCGCATTTTGAAACGGGCTAATGTCAATTAACAGTAAGGATGAAATAGTTGAGACTGATTGAATATGTAAAAAATAAAATAAAAATAAACAAACGAAAGAGAATAGAACAAACCATTAGAACAAAAAAATAATAATAATAAAAATATAAATAGTTTAACCTATAGGCTAACAGATTCAGTTAAATTAAACAAAAGCAAAACGTAAAGTAAAAGTAGGCTACATTTAAACAGAATATAACAAACTTTTAGAGCAGAACATTTTATGAATCAAAAGTTAAAATAGGCCTCTCTCGCAATTAGGTGCAATGACGCTAAACTATTGAGGAATGAGAGGATTGAAGAGCGCTTCTCTCGTGTGCGCGCACTGACTGCTGAACTACCGAACTTCTGGGAAATTTTCAGTGAGAAAAGTTGTGGTCGAGTGGTAGAATTTAGGTTTCAATAATTTAGATGACACGGGTTCAAATCCTGTCCAAACAGGGTAGCCTATTTATAAAATACAATTCCATGCATTTCCATTTTACATGAAGGAACAAATATTATCT